ATCATTACAGGAATAGTACTCCTGACTTAGTCTGTTGTGTGCTGCTATTACAGAATTCCTAAGGTTGAATATGTGAAAAAAAAATTATTTTCTCACAGCTGTGGTTGCTTGGAATCCCAAGATCAAGGTTCCAGCATCTGGCAATGGCCTTCTTGCTATGTAATCATGTGGTGAAGGGCAGGGAGACAGAGGGCTGAAAGGGGGTTGATCTTGTCCTTCAATAATGACATTAATCCCATCTATGAGGACTAAATCCTCACAGCCTCGTTACCTCTTGCTGATCCCACCTCCTAAAACTGTCACAATGACAACTACATTTCAACATGAATTCTCAAGGGAAACAAATATCCAAACCATAGAACTTGGGTTAGTTTTTAAAAAATTAATTTAAAGATTTGGGTGAATCTCAGGAATCAGCATTTTAATTAAAAAAAAAAAAACCTGGGCAATTCTGGAGCAAAGAGCCAGTGAACCTTGTTTTGAGAAACATTGCTAGAAACATTCTGGTCTTCCCTAGCTTCAGTTTCCCTTCTATGTGCCTTCCCTTTAGTTATCACCTTTTCTGCATTTTCAAATTTAATCTTTGAAAGACTTGTTAGATTGGAAGTCTAAACAGCAATACTTCCTAACAAGGACACCAAGGAAGCCTGGTATTCCACAAACGGGTTATTTTTGGGTTGAGATGCTGATGCTCAGCTTCAGGCCCTACTATCCCCCAGTGGCCTTGTCTCTAATACCCTTCTAAAAACACTTCATTTTCTGTCTATGCCAAGATAAGTACTAGACCGAGAAGCACCGCCTTCGAAAGCAGGCATCATTGCTCATTCCTCATATATGTCCAGGGCCTATAATGCTTTCTCAGTCATAGGAGTAACCTGGGAAATATTTGCTCAACAAATAAAAAATATATTTGGGGGATAGTAGTATATGTCAGCAGGCTATTTCCTCAATTTCCAATTGCTCTTTAATCTTCTGTCCCTTTGAATGCACCTTTGCCACTGTATTAGAACTGCAAAACAGTAGACGCTTTGGGGCTACAAAGATCAGCTTCAGTCCTGTTTCTATTACTAGCCACATTGGGAGTTGGGGCATTAACATAAAAATTTGAGAGGGAAAAAGATTCATTTCCTTTTGTGTGTTGTCTTTCTCCCCATTTTTTTTTCTTCAGTGCCTCTCTCCAGCACTATCTTGCAAAAATTGGAAGAACTCCTAAAGTCTAGACTCAGCTCAGGCTATCATGTGCCTTCTAGTAATCAAAATAAGGCCAGCCCACATCAAGGAAAAGGGAAGCAGATTTGACTTCTTAATGGGAAATATTGTAAAGTTCTGTTGCTCAGGATGTGTGGAATGGAACCAATGCCTGCACTTGTCTCTAGAAATAATCTACCAATTTTCCCTTAAGAAAATTATTTAACTATCTTATTTCTCACTTTGTAAAAGGAAGTGCACACATACATTATTTTTTTTTCCTTTTTATTGGTACCAGGGATCGAACTCACGACCACCTGATTGCAAGGCAGGTGCTTATGCCACTGAGCTAAATCCCCAGCCCCAACACATACATTGTTTAATGATGAGAAATGCATTGTTAGGTGATTTTGCTGTTTTAACATGATATTATACTTACACAGACTTGGATGGAAGAGCCTACTGTTCACCTAGGTCATATGGTATGGACTATTGCTCCTTGGCTACAAACCTGCACAGCATGCTACTGAATACCATGGGCAAATGTAATGCTAAGGTATTTGTATACCTAACTATGGAAAGGAAAAGGAAAACTGCTGTATATGAAAGATAAAAAAATGGTTTAGAGCACTTACCATAAATGAAGCTTACAGGACTCGAAGTAGCTCAGGAAAAGACAGTGAACGTGTGGAGAGTGAATGTGAGAGCCTAGGATATTACTCTCTAGCACTATTCACTTTACAAACACTGTATGCACAGGCTACATTAAATTCACTAAAGTTTTTTCTTCAGAATTAACATTAGCTTACGATAATATTTTTACATGTAAACTTTTTAACTTTAAAATTTTTTTTGACTTTTATAACACTTAGCTTAAAGCACATCGTACAGCAGTTCAAAAGCATTTTTTATATCTCTATTCTAAACTTTTTTCTATTTTTAAATTGTTCTTTTTTCACTTTTTAAAATTTTTTTATTAAAAACCAAGACATACACACAGACACACATTAGCCTGGCCTACACAGGCTAAACAGTGTGTGACTGTTTCTGACAATCAATATCACTGTTTTCTGCCCCCACATCTTGTCCCACTAGAAGCTCTTCAGGTGCAGAAACATACATGGAGCTGTCATCTCCTAGCCTAATAATACCTTCTTCTGGCCTTCTCCTAAGAGCCTTCCAGAGGTTGTTTTACAGTTAACTTTTTAAAAATAGGTCTCAACTAATGATTAAAAGTATAATAATACACAAACCAGTAACAGCCATGTGTTATCATTACTGAGTATTATGTCCTGTACATAATTGCAGGAGCTATATTTTTGTATGCCTGGGAATGTCATAGGTTTGTTTCTACCAGCATTGCCACAAACCTGTGAGTAAGGAATCAAGCTACAATATTATGCCAGCTAAGGTATCACGGGTTATAGGAATTTTTCAGCTCCATTATAACCCCAGGGGATCAGTGTTATAGATGTAGGTTATCAAGGATCAAAACTTTGTATGTGGCTCATGGTTGCAATAGCAGCTTCCACTTTGGGATATTCTAAGTAATAAATTAAGAAAATGTGTTCATCACCTAGCACACTGTAGTAGATACATAATAGCAACAATAAAAATATATATTGACAGCCCATATGATGCCTCAGCACGTTCTAAGTACTTTAAATGTACTACTTTAAGTAATGTCATTAACAATTTAGTAATGCACATAGTAATATTTTCTGATGGGAAACCTTTGACACAAACAACTTACTCAAAGTTGGTTGCTTAGTAACTATTGTAATTCTTGGATGTCTCACATCCAAAGGAAATTTCTTAGTTGTCCTTTCTTTAAACTCCATTTTAAAGTTGATGGTCAATTATCTTCTTTGAAACACTCCTTCCACCTTGACTTCCAGGATTCTCCTCTGGCCAGCCTTTCCTCCTTCTCTGATTTCTCCTTTTCCATTGTTTCCTTGTTAAGCTGCATTTTAAATGCCCGACTTCCCTTCCATTTTTCCAGCTCTTCTTTCTTGGAGGAACCCATTCTATGTGGTAGCATAAGTTTGTGCCCTTCCATTGATGAGTGCTGGTCTTTTCCTCTCAACTGTAGGCTAATACATCTAAATGTGATCAGGGTCTCATTATATGACCCAGCCAAACATTTTTCTTTTTTCTTTCATTTGACTGTTTCTGACAATCAGCTAGTGCCTTTGGTAACTGTATCTTACCTGGTTTCTTGAAGTCATTTCTTAAGTGAATCTAATCACCTTCAGCTCCACTCTGACACAGTGGCATCAGTGATACCTGTCCATGAGCTTCAACGCACATCTCCCTGCATTCCTCTGCCAGGCCTAGCATCATGCTCTCTTCATTCCCACCTGTAAGTGTTCTCTCCTTTGGAGGACCAGTCCCTGTCAAAGTCTTCCGCGAGATTTTTTTTCCAACTGGTTTCTTCTCTCTCGTTTTCCTAGTTACCTGTCTTTTCATAATTCTATGGCATTATCTTTATAACTTAGCATTGTCTCTATTATTCCCATACAAGCTCCTTGAAATTTTAGCACCATCCACAGTAGGATTTCAAACCTTGCCTGTTGCATGAACACTCTGTGGAATCTCCAATTACTTTTCTGTGCAATATGATTTCCCATATGCTGTCCTTAGGGTCAGCATAACCTTATGGTTAAAAGTGCCAGGTACCAGTTATAGAAATTCTCGTAATTGTTCTAGAATGAAACTTGATGACACCAGTATCATGTAAATACATAAGAGAAAGAAGGAAAGGAAAGCTCTTACCCTCTACAAGAACCTGGACAAGTGACACTTTTCTGTGTCCTTGGTTTTTCAATGAACAAATGGGGACAGTAGTTAAGCAGCACTTGCAAGGGAAATAAGATTATACTGTATATCCAGGGGACTTGTGGCACAGTGTCTGGTACACACACAAATAGCTCAATACTTTGTGGTTATTTCTGGGCTTATCGCCTGAAAGACTGGATAGGAGATGAATGAGAGGTGCCCCGGAGGTGCCTTTCAAACACCTAGACTTCTGTGATATTCTTCCTTGGGTGCTAGAGACACATTGATAGCCTTCAAATAGAGACACATTGATAGCCTTCAAATATCCAGTCAGTTGCTTAGAAAACCAGGCAGGATCCTGGAAGCTCCTTGCAAGCCTCAGCACCTTTCCTGAGAGTCATTTGCCCTTAGTTTTGATGTGAGCGTCTCCACCTTCTCTAATGACCACACTGGTCGAAATCCTTCCTTTGGTGGCAAATCTTGGCCCTAAACCACGCACTGGGGCATCTGGCAACCTTAGGCCCGTGGTTTCTGCCCAGGTGGCACTTTCAAACTTCGAAGCAGGCGTTCTGCTCCCCGCGGGTGTGGTCCATACCTCACCCTTCGCGCTTTCCACCCAAGAATATGGACTGGACATACACGGTTAGGGTTGTGGGGATGTGTGTGCGTGTGCGTATGTGTGTGTAAGGGGAGTTGTCCTGGTTTGCTTCAGAGCAGAGGAGTAGGGTGTCAAAAGCACCTACACCGCGCACAGACTCACACTCTCCAAGCCTGGGCGCGGCCGCTCCGAGCGCATGGTCCCAGGCCAAGTCCCGCGCTCCACCAGGAGTCGGCGAGCGCCCCCAGTTCCTGAGCGCTCCGGCGCCGGGGCCGCCGCACTCCTACCCGGCAGCGCGCACCCCTGACCCGGCCCCGCCCCTGGCGGCCGCGAGTGGCGGGCGGAGCGCGAGGAGCGCGGCGCGCTGGGTTGTGCGGCGCCACCTCCTTTTCCCGTGGAGGGAGGGACTGAGGGGCCGGGCGGGAGCGAGAGAAAGCCAGATCGACCGGCTGGCGAAGAGCTGCATGCAACCGGTGGGAAGCCGGACCGGCGGGGGCTGGGGCTGGGGTTGGGGCTCCGACCGCTTCTTGGCGGGCTTCTGGCGGTGAGCGCGGACCGCCCGGAGGCGGCGGCTCCGAGCTGGCAGGCGGAGGGCTGTCTCCCGCGCCCGCCTGCCCGGCGCGGTCCGAGGATGCGGGGGGGCGATGCCCGGGGCCAGGGACGCGCTCTGTCACCAGGCGCTGCAGCTGCTGGCCGAGCTCTGTGCCCGTGGGGCCCTGGAGCACGACAGCTGCCAAGATTTCATCTACCACCTGCGGGACCGTGCCAGACCCCGGCTCCGCGACCCAGGTGAGTCCACCGCCGCTGCCGTCCGGCGCGACCCAGGGGCCCTAGGCTGAGACTTGCGGGGCCGCACCCGGGCCTGAGGCAGAAGAGCGACGCGCACCGGCGGAGGGCAGGGGGTGGCCACCCAGCCGCAAGAGGGATCGAGGAGCCGCGCACCGTGGCCTGACGCTGGAACCCGGCGGGGACCCGGGTGGTGGCGGCGGTGCGCAGGCCGAGTCTGGGTGGGCTGGGGCAGGGTTTAGAGGGACCACACCCGCCACCTGCGCTCCAGTGGCCGGGGCTTCTGGGCTCCGCTCCCTGCGCTCTTCACTTCCCTAGCTCTGCGCCCAGGACGAGCGGAGGCCGCCGCGGCCTCCCGAGCTGTAGCAGACAGATGAGGCCGGGGGAAACTCTGGGAAGTTGGGAGTTGAGGACGGCCCCGGGCTGAGGCTAAGTCCCACTGGGCGCTGCTTATCTTCGCTCTGGAGCGCCTGCTTCCTTTCCTTGGTCTGGGGTGAGAAGGGCCGGACGGATCTGCTGGGGACACTGAGCTGGGGACGGGGAGCTTTGGGTCCTGGACTGCCGGGCCTGAACCAGTTCCCGCGGGTCGCAAGGTGCAGAGGCGACCTGGGCCTGGACTTTGTTTCTACTCGCTGCCCTCACCGAGCCCACTAGGGTGAGAGTGCTTGCTGGTCATGGCTTGGACACCTCAAGTCACCCTAGTGAAAGTTAAGAATCTAAGTTTGGAAAGTTCATTTATTTTGACATTTGACCAATTAAGGTTGGAGGGGGGAGTTTTAGTGGAGCCATTTGCCTTCTCCAAGTGCTCTGGGTTTCCTGTCTCTCCTCATCCACTGCTGATCCCTAGAAAATACATCCCCTTCAAATGTTTCTCACTTGGAGAAATAGTTTTCTCGAATATTCTCCTAACTTAAATACTTTAAGATAAAGGCATATTGTGGTTGGGTTGTTTAAAATGAGATGAGAAAATGACCTTTCCTTTTTTATTCCTGTGTATAAATATTGGCAAAGAACTATTGCTGTACAAATTACTTAGTACGGCTTGACTTCATTTTAAGCCAATCCATTACATAAAAATACATTTGCCCGAAAGATGAATTAGAGATTTATTTGACTCCTAAACAGAGTCACAGGGAACCTAACTTAAATAGCATATCCTTGATAGAATATTCAAAATGCATGTGTGGGGCGAAGGCAGCTATTAAAAGTTTATAACAGATTTTCTGTACTCAAATCCTTTTCCTCTTGAGAAAGAAAGATTTTTGTTCCCCATGACCTTGGGTTACATCAATAAGTTTACCAAATGATTACTTCAAAAGGGAGGGTTAGGTGGCGTATACTGATCCCAGTGACTTTCTGCAAGGTTTAGTGGCCAGCCTGTGTGTGGTTTCTTGCTGGGTACAGTGTGCTGTGTAGATCAAAGATGAGAATGGGAGTGCCTCCTGTCACCAACAGGAGTCCAGAAAGGTGTCCCAAGTGTGGGAAGTTCTGTCCCTCACAGCAGGAACAAGATCACTGTTTAACTTGCTGTGCTCCAAGCAAGCTTTTGTGCTGCACCCTCTCCCTTCCTTACCCGATGATGTGTCATGTGTACTGCTTGTTTCCCCACAGAAGTTCTCATCTTTGGCTGTAAGAGGAGGTGGATGAGGCCTGCCACTGAATTGCATGCTGAATATACCACATGTTTCTGGCCTGCTTTCTGTCTCTGCTGTTTTTAGTCCAGGGACCAGATTCTGTTCTCAGGTTCTCCTGTGCTGCACCAAAGAATCAGACTCCTCATAAGAGGAATGTGATTCCTTGGCTAAGAAATAGCAATAGAGAAGCCGGCCATGCTGCTCTTAGAGATTCTTGAAAGCAGTGCTCTGCTTTCTTAAACTAGGGCACATGGTTTTGAGGTGGCTGCATGCCCCTCTGGCCCTTTGGTTTGTCTCTGAAAGTAGCCTGCTTGTGAGGCAGAAGAGAGAAGGTAAGAGGAAATGAGGTCGAAGAGGACATCAGAAGTACACCCTCTCCTTCAGGGCACTTCAACTCAAGCCAGTCTCCCTCCATTTCCTTCCTTCTTCGCCTGTTCACATTAATTCTTACATCAGATGCATTTATCGCCATCTCTCTGAAGCTGTTTGTCCAAGCCAAGAGTGGCCTTAATCTCCGAGCCTAAAAGCTAAGTGGTTGGAGAAGCTGCACAGCACAAAACTGTGCGAACAGCGCCTCTGCTATTGTGCAGTTGGAGCTAGAACAACTGCGTACAGCAGCCCTGAGATATGGATCCAGAAGGCAGCTTTGCTGTAAATGGATGACTTCCGTTTCGGTGAAGGAACCCACATGCTTGGCCTATTCAACCTTTCTGTGTATATTGTCTGTTCATGGCTGCCCTGCAGTAGTAGTAGATTTTCTCAAGCTCCATGAAATATGTTACTTAGAAAAGGAGAGAAACAGATGTAATTCCCAGTAGACAGTCACAGTGCTTCTAGGATGTTCATTTTTTTCAGCGGTAAGATTATGAAGCAGAAGAAAGAGCAAGTGCAAATGTTCTGAGGCAGGAGCACCACTGCTTTGATTTAAGGAACAGTGACTTCAAGGTGATGGAGATGGGAGACTGTTAAAGGAACATCCTTCATAGTTGGAGAGGGTAGGTCATGGAGGATCTCAAACTAATACAGGGAATTTGGTTTTAATTGTGAATGAGATATAAAGCTTTAGATAATGTTGAGCAGAGCTGTGAGAGCACTGGATGCTATGCTGAGAAAGTAGTGTAGACAAGCCAGGGTGAAGACCAAGAAACCTGTTAGAAATCCAGAAAAAGGTAGTAGTTTAGGATAGGCCAGGGTAGTTGTAATGGAGATAATGAGAAGAAACTGCATTATGGATACAACTTGAAGATACAACCACTAGTATTTATTGATGAAGGAATGTGAAGGATGGAGATGAGTTAAGGATGACCCCAAAGCCTTCTGACGTAAGCAACTCAATTTATTGAACAGAAGAAGATGATTTCAGGAAGAGACAAACTGGGAAGGGGAATCAGGAGGTTTCTGTATTGTTTGGTTTCTAGCTTTTTTATACACATTATGTATGATGGCTCTTTAAATAGCCAAGATGTCTGGTAGTTGAACAGTGACCTGAGGTATGAACATTTTTAACATCACCAGCTGGTCTATGCTCATGGCAGTAGCTGGATATTATACCATGAAGGGGCTAACTGGTTTTAGAGCAGCATTTATTGTTAGATTTTCTTTGAAGGGAACAAAAAACACTCTTTTTTTTTTGGGGTGGGGGTCTTTTTCATTTTTATCGGTACCAGGGATCGAACTCACGACTGCCTGCTTGCAAGGCAGGTGCTTATGCCACTGAGGTAAATCCCCAGCCCCCCCAAAAACACTCTTAATCTTTATTTACCTATCTTGATTATACTTTGTGTAGTCAAGAGTCTCATCCTTTTTTTTTTTCCATTGTATACCTTTCACTCTTAGGAGGTAACTGTGTAAATTTCTATAGGCCCATCGTTTCCACATCTGTAGTTGAAAGGAGGATTGAATCATATAATTTGTAGTTTTAAAACAGAGTTTGTCATTTTCCTGGTGTTTTTATTTTTTAGGCAGTAGGGTACCAACCATGTTTTTGCCAAGCATTATATAAGTTATTTCACTTGGTTTTCTTAATGGTCTTCCAAGACCTTGCTCAGGGTACTGGTCCGTGGGCAGCAGCATTTGTAGCTTGTTAGACCCGTGGAATCTCAGACCCACTGAGACCTATTGAATAAATGTCAATCTGTGTATTTATAGGATTCTCAGGTGAGTTGTGGGCATATTAAAATTCAGGAAGCATGGCACAGATGATACGCGCAAGCTCACACACACACACACACACACACACGTAAAGTGAAGTGCAGGGAAGTAAACTAGCTTAAGACCACAAATCATTACATCATTAAAAAATAAAAAACAGTTGGGTATAAATCAAAGGAGCTTGTTGGTAGTCACATTTACAATTTTCTCAGGTTAGGGTTAGGGTTAGTAGGATACTGGTTCCAACACTGTGATGATACTAAAATATAAGAATGCTCAAGTCTTACATAAAGTACTGTATTGTTTGCATAAGACTTATGTACAACTTCTTACATAACCTCTAGAATGCTTATAATACTGAATACAAAGTAAATTGTATGTAAATACTTATACTCTAGATATTGAATAATGATGAGAAAAACTGTTCATAGTCATTGCAACTTTATTATGAATATTTTTGATTTGTATGAATTTGATATGAATATACCAAATCTGTGGTTGGTTGAATTCATGTTGAACCCCTCAGCTCCAGGAGGCTGACTGTACTAAGAATTTAGGAGTTATTGTCAATGAAAATTTACAAAATATTTTGTATAACAGTCATCCCAAGATCTACTTTCTATACTTGTATAATGGATTTAACTCCCAAGTGTAGGTTAAATTTTATGTAGTTCCAGAGATTACCTTCGTGTTCTGAGTATGAATAGATGCTGGTTTTCCGTTGCTGTTCTAACTTCACAGTTAAGAGGTTCTTCATGAGCTCTTGGTGTCTGTATCCAAGGTCTGTAAAATGTTTGCTAAGTCAAAGGTAAATACAATTCTATTCAGGCAAACTTTTTTTTTTTTTTTAAGATTAATGGTTTTTAATTTCAGCTGTTCCTCAGTAACTTAGCCCTAAAAACAAAATAACAAAAGCCTCACAGTGACCAGGCTGTGCTCTAAGCCAATTAAATCAGCCTCTGACGATATGACCTGGTGTCCATATTTTTTAAAGTAGTTCCTCAGTTGATCATACAGGTACAGGGCAACATTTGAGACCATAAGATAGAAGACGTATTCTCATATCTTTTCTCAGCCCAGCTCACATTTCTTTTTTCCAGAATTAGGAAAGATGATATCAAAAGCCAGGGTACTTTTCAGTGACCCTTGTACAGTTTATATCATCACTGGATTCCTATTCTCGACAATATTGTGCCTCACTTTTATTTTGAGGGATCT